AAAGTACGTTCCTCTGTGTGGTATGCGAAGGCTTTATGAATAACTCCTTCCTATGGTTATATGAAAACACGTAGTTTGTGCTTAATTTACACGATTCTCTACGATGCTGTCCCCAAAATACATTGAAAGGTGTTTTTAGCATGAAATAGCATTCTGGCAATCAAAAGAACTATTTCTAACAAGATGGTACTAGATTTCTACCTTCAATCATTTAAATGGCACCACGACCAGACAGTCAGAGAGCAACAACGATCAACTTCTCCTCGCAGTAACCTTGATCTCAGTCAAACGAGACCTTACTGACAATGGCTCATCGTCATGCAGCAACAAAATTAAATAATGAAGGCCTGGATGAATAAACCCAGGAAATACAAGTATATGGTTTAAAACATTTGAGTAAAAGTTAAAACAAAATACAAGGTGAAAGAATAAAGAGATAACAATACTGTCGAACGAAAAAATTTAAAGGGATTCTCACGGTACTTAGTCTGTTATAACTACCTAAAACGAATTGGTTCTTCCAATTACTTTGATCATGAGAATGACATGACGAATCCAAGTAGATTTCTCTGTTATTATCTCGCGCACTTCTTTTTACTGAATAAATTCGCCACGTTCGCTGCGGAACTTACATATGGTTTGGGAGCTTAGAAGTTATATTGTATTGGAATAAAAAATCGTCATTCATGTCAAGGTGTATTATATTCTAATAATGACATATTTAGCTGTCACGACAGTACTGTCCTATACATCTATCATATACTTTCGTTTTAACCTTGTTCGCCCATACATGACTCATCGAAAAAAACACACAATTCCTTGTCCGTTTCCTTAAAAACGACTTATGGTTCGATATCATTTTTACCGGTCACCTCCCATCCGCTGAATCATATGTTAAGATAACTTATTTATGTTGTTAAACAGAAAATCGTTTTCTCCTCGTGAATTTTAGAGCTCATGAATTTTTGCATCCATCAACTAGAAACATTATAAATGATACATAGTTGTCTATTTATTGTGATTTCCATTGAATGGTATGCCTAGCGTTTTTACTCACGTAGAAATTATATGTGCATACATTTAGTATGTTTTTTATACTCGTTAAGATAACTGACACTGCTATAAATAGCGAAACATTTTGGTTCCTCTAACACATGGTCAACAAATAAATTTATTCCATTTTTGTTTCCAAATTTACGAACAACCAATATGATATACACCCGAATCTAGTCTATGTGACCTAATGCCTAAATATTTAGCTTAATACAATTAAACCGCAAAGGTAGGGATTGGCATCACTCCGCGCCAATAACCTCGTAGTCCGACATCGCCAAACGAGGTATCGATATATTGCGACAGATAACTAATGTGTACATGAATAATTCGTAGTTTAGCGGTAAAGGTCTTTGTATCTGTCTCTATCAGTAACAATCAAACTGTAATAATTGACTTGAAAATTTACAATTCATTTTTGCCAAGGCATCAAAAACATGCACTATCTGTCACATACTTTTGTTATACAGATGATTGTGAACAGGCTCATAAATTCTGATTTCGAATTCGCTTTTAATTTACCTTGATAACTAACTCATACCAGGTGTACTCTAACGTCTTAACAACTATGCCTCACTTTCTTATTGTATCTTAATGTACTCACACTTATAATTTCAATGTTTTACCTTAAGTGTTCGTCGTTCACACTGTTTCGTAACATAAAGTTCGCTTGAGCTATATTTATTAGTAGTAAAATATTATTACTTAACTGTGTTATAGGACTTTGTTATTCATTCACACAGTAGTAGGTTTTATCCATATGCATCTAGTTTCATTTTAGTCGAACGGACTGGACTTTGGGGAGCTAGATTTGATTAAGGCGCAAACAATCAGTAGTGGTCCTTGATCTACTAATTTTATGATAGGATATTTTTCAGTGATTTGCTATAATGTCATTTATTTAGCAGCATACTTAACACAGTTAAAACAAGAGATGAATACACTTTGTTGGAGATTTCATTCGTACTCTAAACTTATTTTCAAGTCACGTGTAGCATGATCACTTTCATCTTCCTTCATAATCACATTGAATTGAGCTACCTGGAAAATAAAAAAAGTGGCTTAAAGTTCATGCCATTCTCAAAGGTTTACTAGAAGTCACAGAATTCCAATTAAAACGGACATTGAGTATTCTGTCATAATTAAGATGTGCAAATTCAATTACAAAGCTGGTAACACTGCTACAACGGTTCGCACTTTATCCAGAAAGCCTATAAAACAAGGGAAGGATAAAAATTTACAAGTTTAATGTGAGTTCATCATTATTTAGTCAAGTCCAAGTCCCTATAAAATTAAAACATCAAGTGTTTGGTATGCTTATTTTTCAGATAGACATTAATATAAACAACGAAGTGAAATTTCAGAACATCTTTTGTATATCTATATATATTGTACGCTAAGAGTAAGCACTGCAAAAAATATTTTGGAATACTTTCCAGACGCTACACTTCTGATAAGTTTTCCACGGCAAACCAAATGCAAGATAAATACTGGAAGTTCAAGGATGAAATTTTCCTCGACCTAAGTTCAAATCCTGGGTTTAACAGATGAATTAAAATCTGGTAAAAATGAGTGGTATTAATAATAACACCGCGTACTAAATTAAATACTTCGAGTTTCACCCTTGGCAGTGGCCTCGTGGATTGTAACATTGCAGTCTGTAACTCCCATGTATGTGATGTCAATAAAGCCGAAAGAGAAAAGATCCTCAAAAATGCAAAAATAGAAAAAAAGAAATAAGGATTTCGTTTTTTGAGCTGCCTAACTTTATGATATTGACGATATATCAGTTTCATACATAACAGTCCTTTAGAACGCAATAAAAACTCTGTACAATTGATTTGAAAATAAGACAAGGACTGTTTTCTGGAAGTAAAAGAAAAAAACAACAAAATTAACTATCCAGTATTGACTAGAGCACGTCTAATTTTTTAATCTCTAGGACGGATTATTTTATGAATGTTTATGCATCACAAACAATGTACAAATGTCACCTATATACAACCTTAAGCACACAGTTTCAACTCACAATCAAGCTCCGACCACGTCATGTAGCGCAGTCAAACACATAGGCTTCTCACTGACAGCTGGAACAGTACTTAATATCCTAGAACACTGGGAAAATATAGTAAATAGTTTCCCATAGTGTCGTTTTAATATATTTTTCCTTATTCTATTACGTATGTCTGTTCTAATTGAAACTTTTATTTTACGCTATTGTTTAGTTAATCTGGACTATTGATTCTTCACTTTCAATTATTTTAGGTCAATATGGTGAGTGGTTACGGTCCAGTACCACCGTTTCCAATGCTATTCAAGGTTATGGAAGGGTTGATTATTGAAAAAAGCGATGCTCTTCATGCAACCCAACATGGTTTCAAAAACAAGCATTATTCATCCGATGATTATGAATAGGAAACCTGCATAACTTGTTAGGTCTAGATTCCGATTTGCGTGATATTCCCCTACTTCGGAAAGTCATTCTAGACTGAACTGCGTGATATGCTCATGATAAAATTCATAACGATAGTTTCAATGACCCGTTTTTTCTTCAGATTTCTTGATTGCCTGGAAAGCTGAATGTTCCACATCAAGATAAATAGGGTTCGTGGGAACTAAAGGGCCTCCATATTAGGAGTTTCATGGGAAACCACTCTAGGATAACTTTTCTTTCTGAATAACTGAGCCTAACATATGCTAACAAGATACCATAAAGAGCAAAAAGAATTCGATTGAGCTCCAAAAAGACCTGACATCGTAGGTAGGTTGGTGGTGGACATTTGGTTTAAAAATAACTTGTCAAAATGTCATGTTGTGAATATTCAGCCTTATGCACCTTATTTCTTTCACAATAGCACTCTCATGATTATATTCACAGAGTACGATGATGGATAATTACCCTTGGGATTTTTGACACTCGTAAAGACGGTGGGGCTGGAGCTGAACAAACAAAATTAGTAATTTCATATGGAAAAAATTTAATATTTTTAACCAATAACCGTTTTTAACTCTCCTTAAAGAGACACGCAACATGGTGGGTGATGGAGCTGAGGGGCAAATCTTAGGTAGGTAGAACTGGACTTCTGAGATCGTTCCCCCCAGGTCACAGGAGAATAAGGAGTCGATTAGCAATAAAATACGATAAACAAGGGAAACCAAGTCGTCCTAACACAAATGTCACACTGGAACCTCATCACCATTCCTCAAAAAACGATCACTATGGAGTGAATACCAGGATGAAATCAAAATTTTCACATTGAGAGTTTCCTCATATGACAACCATATACTTGCCAGTGGACTACCGTCTGCCTCTCGGACTAATTACACATGCCTCCCAAATCATCTAAATCTATTAATATTACAACATATCATTAGCCTATTTCTATCCGATTCGTTTCGTGTTAATAACGTTCATCTGTTATTCCTGCACTACAGTCCATTCGTTTGTTTGCGTACTTGGTGAATAATCCAATTTCTGACAGTCAGTTTTTCTTTCACTCTCACGTATCTGAATTTTTTTCTAATTACGACTAACTAACATCCTGCGTGATAATGGTTGGCATTTGCTAACCCACAACTACTGGACCCATTAGGACCAATACAGGCAAGTGATTAGAATACTCAATTTGGACGCCAAATAAAACCTAGGATTGTACCGACACAAAGAGAAAAGAGCACAGATAATTCAATTTGTGTACGCCAAACTACCAATTATATATTGGATAGCGGAATCAAAGACGTTTGATAAAGTGACATAGGCTGATTCAAGAAAAACGATTGTTCAATGAACGGGAAAAATAGGGCAATACACAAAGCGACTGGAAACATTAAAAAAGATGCTACATTCAGAAATAGGTCTATTGTTCTTTGAAGTCCTTAAAAAATGATTGTCAGCGGAAAATCGGAACGTGTTGTCATAGTAATCAAATCCTACGAGCTAATTCAAAATGAAGGACGGAAGCACCGTTGTATTCAAAAGTCGATATACTGTGATTAAAAAGCTCGGAAAAGGAGCGAGTGGGAAAACTTACTTGGTGGAGGACTTCCACGAATCTCAAAATTGCACGTAATTAATAGTGTTTTTGAACGGACCGTGATCAGGAAGGTTTTGAAAGCTCTGAAGTGCATAAAACTTGATGACAATTCAGAAGCTGTTCAAAAAGATTATGAAAAAGAAGCCCATCTTCTATCGAGTCTAAAACACCCTTATATACTCTGTATCCATGAAAGTTTTGTTGATAAAAATAGGTTCTGCATTGTGTCAGAATATTGTGAAGTGAGTCGTTAGAGATTTTCACTGTATGATTATTGTTTATGAAATTTGCTGACCATTAAAAATATGGCTGTTTCGTCGAATTTGCTTGTAAACGGATATATATTCAGGGTCTATATACTAAATTGTCTTCTCCCACAACCACTACAGTCCAGAAGAGCAGTATTCTTCTACAAATAATTTTATCCTTCCCGTTTAAATAACCCGAGATCTTTTTTTGATTAATCTTCTGGTCTATATTTTATGGCACTTTGAGGAGAGCTTTTTAATAGCTAACCCCTTAAAACGTAACTAGTTGCGTTACTATTCCAACTAACATGAAAAACCAAAAAATTCCATGCAAACACTGTTTGACTTAATTACGAGCGGTCCACGTTGTGGATGAATAATACTCTCAACATATTATGACTTATCATAACATCACAGAGTTAAATGATGGCTTTATATCGTATTTAACCCATTCGTAGTTATTCTTGTCATGAACATTTTTTGAGTTGATGGTTGTAGTTATTTTCTAGGCATTTTTTGCAATGAACACCCAGCATTCTTGTGTCAGGCTAGTGTCAGCCAGATGATTTTCTTTCACGTGCGTTTTACTCCACCAATGTTGTTTCTATTGTTTAATGACTTCGGTAGGTGAGAGAGGTTAAAACCACAAGTTTTTAGATGACTACTAATGTATTGAATGAGTTTTAAAGGTAGAACAATAATAAGTGATTAGAGCAAATCACCCTGTTATATTTTAAGAAAATGATTCTGTGAATTGAACACAACGAATTAGTAGTTTTGCTAGGAGAAACAACAGAGTCCGTTAAATATCGTTCATGGCATATGATAAAAAACTTTGCACAATCACCCGAATCATTCAATGACACTGATGTTAGCTGATAAAATCATATTTTTCGTGTTTAATTTCACCCCCAAATGGAGCTGTTGATTAGCTTTCGGGAAATAGGTCAGACATATTTTTATTCAGCGCAAGTACGACACACAATTTATTCTAAAATATGGTATCGAGAAGTGGCTGTCTCGGCCTACTAATAGCGAATAATAGAAAAAGATTGTTTAAATGTTTAAAAGTTTAGTATTTATGTCATCTGCGCAGAAAATAGTTTATAAATGGGATTTATGACCTAATCAAGTCGAAAAACCTATAGTTTTACACAACTGCTAATGAACCTAAAATGGAGGTGATAGAACTAGTTTGCTAGCTAAACTAATTAATTACTTTTCATTTATCCAACTAACGATCTGTAGGTTACTAAACACGTCGTATTGCAGAGCCGATTGGTAAGTAATGTCTCCATCTGTTGTTAATTAACGACTTCATCTACGTGAATTAATTTATAAATCAATGATATTGGGTCGCAACTAGCTACAAATATCAAGTCATAATAGTAACTTGTATGGACGAAACTAAGTTAATCTAAAATCCGAAACAATGCTCGGATTTCTTCTTCAGACCAACGTGACACTAATGTTTTAAACGAATATCTACACTAGGTACCCTGATAGTGTCTATTCTACAGGACTTTAACACAACTGTGACTGGCCGGACTATCATGTGAGTATACTTCAATGCCAATAACTGAAAACAACCATAATAACAATGAGTAGAAAGACAAACAACACACCTAATACCTACCAGGCTATCTACATATATGACTATGCAAACAACTAATCATCATTTTCCCCGCCCACACACTATTGGACTTTACTCTATCTCTTAATATATTTCATTGATTAAAATCTCCACCAGAACTTTGCGGGCTTTCGTGACGCTCAAAATGGATAAAGTGACTAATATAAAAGACATTGCTATCACATGTTGCTGACGTATACAGAATTACTTATGACTTTGAAATAAGTAATAGCATTGAGTGTATCTAGTAATATAAAATCCGTAGATTTTACTAAAAGGCGCTCTGATAGCTACAAGTGGATCAGCATGAAAAGACTAGAAAAAATCTGTAGAGCCACTGTAGTGTATATTGTCTAAATCATGAATAAACTGTACTATTGTGTGCAAAGTATTTTTTATTTCATACAAGCAGCACAAGCTTATGTTTAGCTCCGGTGGTTGGTTAAGTTTTACATATGTCTTATCTGTGGTCGCTAGGTAGATACATATATGATCATGTGTACTCAAAAAATTACTATGCTAACACTGTAAAGCTTACGAAACTAAATTAGTTTTTCTAAACAGTGGTTAAGTATGTTACTCAAGAGCAAACGGATGTAACCCAAGTGAGAAAATTATTTTCATCGGACCACAAAATTCCAAAGATCACTTAACTGAAATATGTTTTGATAATAATAAAAGCTTGTAAACAAGATTAATATTTGTTCCAATTAGTATAAACAAAAATATAAGAAGTCGGTTTATATTATTGCTAGTTGTACAATGAGAGACTTTCATACTTTTTGGTATCATCGTCGATTGTTCATGCAATTTGTTTTCTTGCTTGATAAAAGTCACAACTAGGACCACTGTGCTTCATTCAGAGCCCAATACTAATCATGTTCACACCAAAACTGGTGTTTGGTGCTCTTTTGTCTTCATTTTGCGTTCGGATGATATAAGTCAATGTATAAAAGTTTCTTTACACATTTTATATTGTAGTGAATCTTTTCATTGTATAATAGGCAAATGAGAACTATTGAACTGGTTTGAGATGAGTGTGATTAAATGGCAATGCTTAATAACAATGTATGAGGCCAATTAGTGCTCACTGCTCTCCATTTTTATGCTGATCTTACATCTCTTAGTATACACTGATACCAGTGAAATGAATCTTCTATCAGAATAAATTTATATACGTTATTTTAATCAAATGAGTCAATTTAAATCCATAAAATCTCTTCAAATGATGCTCTATATTACTGCTGTTTTCACACTTTTGTTCCAAATGACATGCCTTTCTATTTATTTCTAAAGGCTGCATAGTTGCTTTCACATACAACAACTATAATAAATAGTGCCTGTTAATTGGTATGGCGGTTTATACCGTCTCATTGTTTACCGTGGCTTGTTGCGAAATTAGGATAAAATCTTTTTGTATCATAGCAACCAATTTCACTGGTTGTATTAATGAGTATTAGAATATTAGATTTCTTTAGATAAGCTTAGACTGCCTTTTTTAAATTCTACAGGTTTTTAAATTTCTAAATTATATGAAATCAGTATCTTGTTTAATTTTGTTTTACATGTTCCTCTATGCATTATTTTCTAAAACTTAGGTGGTTTAATAAACGTTTTTCATTATTTGATGATTACTTTCATCAGGGTTATCAATTATGGGATGATATAAAACCATGAAAAATGGAGTGGATGCTTTGCCTTGTTTTATATCTTAGTAATTCACATTAGGTTTCTAACACTTAATATTCTACATACCACTTCAGTCTCGTTTCAAGTGCAATGGATTTAAGTCCCTGAGTCGGGGTCTAGTGATTTGCATCTTCGACTTAAGTTAACTTACTGTAGTGATGCAAACATTCAATTTGGTCGACAAGTTATAGTCCCACTTCAGGTATGATCGACTTCACAATTCATAAACTTCAACTGGAACTTGGATAAATCCACCCTAAATCTAGTTACTTGTTAGTACACCGTTATTAGTAGGCCTGGTAATTATGTGAAACGTTTTGTGACTAGTTTCATCATGAATTGTTCATTTTAAGGTCTCTTTTTTGGTTATCTATCTTTCTAATGTGGTCTTAAAAAGTGTGATAAAAACTGAACCGATTCGCTCTCAGTTTCGAATGATACCTTTGCTTCATCTCTTTGAATCGGCAGTTAACAATCAGTTTTATCATGCATGCAGACTACGATTTGTCATTCTTGATTTATTTGTCTCTTTAGTTTATATTTTAAAAAGTTCTTAAGGACTGTTTAACCCATAATACGTCAATATCTTGCAGATAATAAGCAAATAAGAAATCAACTGAAGTAGGATAACAATATTATTATCAAGAGTTAACAAAGGTGTGAATGTATTTTCATTGATGAGATTTCCTCAAAGTAGAAAAATGCAATGCTTCTTAGCCTCTATCCATGTATTTCAAGGAGTCAAGTGACAAACGTGATTCACAACAATAAGCAGACGATTCAAAGAGAACCAAAGTTACCAATAATTTAGCGTAGTTGACTACTTTCACACTATCTTACATTGTATATCAAGAGGTAGATTGTTACCAGATACACAATCATATTTCTTAAACATTCTATCCAGTAGACGTTAAAAGTCTTCATAAGTTTATCTGATCTTGATTATCTAGGTGGGTAGAGACCAGAAAACACACTAGTTCACGAAGTTCTAGTTCCCGTTAGTACTATATTATTGTCCTATATATTATATTTTCCCTGATGACTGCACATTTAGTCAACTTATTTCTTCGTCAAATCGTTACAAAAGAAAACAGTATTCAGCGATTATTCATCATAAAAATAAAACGTAGTATGTTAAAACAATTAGTCCCTTTGATAAATTTCGATAATGATATTAGAAGACGAAGATTATCAGAACTATGTACATGGACTAAGTACATGGAAACGATTGCGTCACATCCCACTGTGTTTACCAATTTAAATGTGTGTGTGGTCACACATACATAGGGAGGAGTAATCGTGATCTCAACATTAGGGTGAGTGAACATGTACCCAAATGGCTTCAGAAACAAATACAATCAAGTGACCCGATAAGAGCAGAGGATAAACATCCATCATCCTCTATTGCTAAACATATAGTTGAAACAGGTCACAAGATTGATCTAAATTCAGCTTTTGTAGTGCTGTATAAAAGTGTAAAAGGGCGTATACTAAGGTTCATCGAAGCCTTAGCCATACGAAAATTCAAACCCCCTTTATGTGTTCAAAAACAGTTTGTTCTTACCTTAAACCTACCCTGGTAATATTGACTTATTATCCAGAGTGATTAGGTTTCAAATTGTGTTCACATTAATATTATTATTACTCTTATCATTATCCTTATCTCCTCTTACCCCGTTTCCTGTCTAGTTTACCTTTTAGTTTTATATATAAATGCTCTTAACAAGTATATGTGTGACCAGATTGTTCGAAATGTATTGCGCTAATATATCACATAGTTCTGATAATCTTCGTAGTATGTTAAATTTCAATGGATTAATCTAAGCTAAGATTTTATCTTTTATTTTTAATTGTACTGTAAAACATGATAGGGGGGTGATCTAACCAATTACTTAAAACAAGTGAAGAGTAAAGGAGAACGTATCAGTGAAAAAATTATTGGAAAATGGCTTGTACAAATTATATTGGCCACAGTTTATATGCATAAAAATAAAATACTTCACCGTGACTTAAAAACAAGGTTGTTTTCCGATTTTTTTTTCAATATATTTAGTTTTCAATTATAATTTGGGAGTTGGATTTTTTAAATTGTAATTTAAGTCAAAAAACTAACAACGTCATTTTGTCCTTTACGGAAATTTTGAAGGGAATTACATTTAAAAATTATATGATTATATCCATCCATTTCTTAATATTCAGTAAATATGGAATCGTAAACGTCGTTCGGAATTTTCCTATTCATTTAGTGAGTGAGTGCCTTATATAAGAGACCATTGTTTCACAGCCTAATTTTCATTATATTTGGTATCTTCCATCCGACATGTTGGGATGCGCTACACTGAAGTGACCGTAGCATACAGATGTGGATAATTTTAGACACTTCAAGTGAAATCCCAAGTGGAAATTACACTCTTAAATGCAGCATTTTTCCATTCAGTGAAGGGAAAAATGCCTAAAACACTAGATACAGCATGCTCAACAAATATTGGAAAACAGATGGATAAACCCAATATAGAAGTTCGATTTAAAGAAGGATGATCTTGAAAGAAGAGACGATAATACCTAATTTTAATAAGTAATATATTTCACATATTACAGATTTGGACCTAGTGAGCAGAAAATAACAAGATGGCTATTAAGTATGTAGGTGCCAGATTCAAAACGCACATTCTGGATTCCACAGCCACATAAAATCTCTCTCTTAAAAAATCTTGTGGGAAAAATAATTATATCAAGGCAATGTACACAGGATGTACATATGCCAACTAAAATTGATCGATATTCAATTAGCAATATCAACAACGTGATAAGCTAAACTCTTTCAAAAATTACTTGAAAGTAGCTTTCACGAAGTGAAGTTTGCTAAAGAATCATCGAGAACCCGAATACACTGGATCTAACTAAGAAAATGTGTTCAACCGGCATATTTTTTTCAGTATCACCGTAATTTATTTTGTTTCCTATGAGTTAGTCCTAAATTGTACACAAAATACATAAGACTAGCAAACAGTTTTTAATGTAAATATAAATCATTGAGGTTTCCAATTAATTTATAACAGCTTGTCGTTTGCAGGCAGTTCCGAATCTTTACTAAAATATTTGAACTCGGAAAGATGTGAATAAATAATTAAATTTAAATAAACAAACCAAAAATTCTCAATAATACTGCAACTGCTTATAAAATTAATGAAGCTTACCTTAAGTATTTATCAAAAGCTAGGTCTTATTTAGGTTGTTATTAGAAATGCTTCCCATGTAAAATGTTTATTGCAGCATTGATCATGTTTATTGAATTAGTTGAGGAGTTGAATTTTTAAGAAGTGATTTGAATTTTCGGAAACGTTTTAGGTAAAACTTATGTTTTAAAATGGTTTTAGTAATATATTTTTAAAGAATGGGAATATTAAAGTTGGTGATTTCGGTATTTCGCGTTCACTGGCCACAACTGAAGAACTGGCAACTACGTTTATTGGGACTCCTTATTATATGAGTCCGGAAGTTTTGAAGTACGAAGGATATAATAATAAATCAGATATTTGGTAAGTTGAACGTCTTATAGTAAATGATTTGTTAGGTGGCTGGTAGAAAATCTTGAACCTAGGTTTCATGTTCACTGAAATTTAACAGGGAAACGTTTTGGTGGCCATTTATCTGACTCCAGTATGATGACGTCCATGTCACCAATTCTCGTATACAATTATCGAGTTAATTCGCGTTAATGAATAACGGGATTAAATAAGTTAAACACAAGAATGGATTTTGAATACGTATGTTTCATGCAACCGTTGATCTGAGCAAACAATCAGGGAAACGAAGCAAAACGGATTGGAAAAGGCATATTATCCGAATCAATTTGACCAAGCGTGAAAAGATATTTATAGTCAGACAAAAATAAGTAACAGACACGTGATGAGTAATATAAGAAATGCACACACATACGCTTATATAGAAATATTCAAGGTTGATAAGCAAATAATTAAAAAGGTCAAAACGTGACTCAAGAAGAATGGATAAATTGACCTGTCCGGAAGCCAAAGTAAGCTATGTCGGCTTGATGTAGCGACCGACAGTAAAACGTATCTGCAGTCTTGTAGGAACTGCCGCTACCCAGCCAATTAATCCAGCGTTATCATCATTCATAGATCTAGATGGTGACCACTAAGCTATTGGAGCTGGAATTAGCCTCCCATAGAAATGTGCTATTAACTAATAACTGACCGATCAATGGTGACCAATATCATGTTTGTCTAGTTCATTTAGAGACGCTCATATAACAAAGATGGAGTTGAAATGTTTTCACAAGTCAGAATGACTTGATATGGCGTGAACTATGTTGAAATGTTGATTGGTAATAAAATGGCATGCAAAAACTTATATGGTGCTCGAAGAGTTGAATTTATTAGATGTCCAGAGAGCTCCAAACACCATTGCATCCTAATCGGTCAAAAAATCTGTGAGTTCCAATCGTCTCCATTTCGTCGTATTTTCTTCTTACATACAGGCTATTTTGTCAAACAAAAACAAACTATTTTGTCAACCAGCTATATTTTTGTTTCTAGTTAGTTTGGGAGAGGAGCTTAAACCACCAACTAGATTTTCACGAGCTGTGGTCACTTAGTCACTTCATGTTATTTCAGTCGATCGACTGTGACAGCACGAGATTTCTTATCCCATACCATGAAAAAACAACAGTTCAAGGCTCTCAGGTATCGACCGATTGTCTAACCGAAGCCAGTCCATTATGTGAGGCTAATAATTCGACAGATTCCACAACTCACTATGTCGACATACTTTCAGTTTCTATGCTTTCACTGTTGCTTCAATGAAGGTCAATTTTCAATTGGGAAAAACAGATAGAAAATTCATTAGAAATCAACAACTACATAACTCGAATTGGAATTTCATGTAGTCTTCTGATTTTATTAAACAGATAACACCTTGTACATAACGCAAACTATCCGTAAACATGTGGTTTAGCATTTCTTATCTCTATCTCTCTCCCTCCGTCATTTATTTCTCCGAGTTATTTCCATGTCTATGACAAGCATAATCACATTTTGGTGATTACATATCGATTTGTCTCTCACTGAATTTGATTAGCACCAATAATCTGTTCACGATCTGTTACAGTGGATGCATAGTTCAATAAAATGTGTCAAATTCATGAAAGTAGATCAGCAAATGAATAGATAAACAAAGAGAACTGAATAGATTTTCTGGAGGTAAACAGAATGGCTCAACTATTGATTAGAATACAGAAAATTAGTTCACACTTCGAAAACGTAATAATTTCAAGTGGCTGATCCATACATTTGTTTCTTAAACAGATCTACAAAATTGAACATTGAAATCAGGTGTTACTGTGTGACTGGTCTGAAGTCGATTTCTATTGTGGCAGTTAACTTTCTAGCTTGCATTATTCAAGTGTTTTAGCAATGAGACGTCGGTGAACTCAGTAAGTTCAGTGAGAATGAATTTCATCTTAGTTTGATCAAGATACGATAATCAATAATATTGAGATTTATCGAGAAAATGATCACTGCATACTTATGATGTAATTCATAATATTTTAATTAGGCACCTGAAACTTGTATTTACCGTATAGAAGTAAGTTTGTAATATCTTCTGTTTGATGTTTATGTATGTGTAATTGTCTAGAGATGTTCTGAAGTGTGAGTTGTATGTTGTTTGACCCTATTTTGGTCAGAAAATTACCAGTCTAAAATATCAGAGACTACAGCGTAGTGATGTCAAATCACTTGAATTGCTAATCAGATTTCAACTTGGTTAGTAGAATTCGTTGTTCCCTAATAGATTAAATCGAAATATGACTAAATGACCAATCAACCGTAAATTGGTGATTTGCATAACATTTTTGGCGATAGAAATACATTAATCAGGTAAAATGCTTTAGGTATAGGCACACTTATTTGATTCATACGTACTAACACTGGTCTCTCGTGTAACGTGGTTTGTACTATACTTTACTATTAGTTAAGCAGTTTCTGTAGCTTTTTAACTGTTGTATAGGTCAATCGGAATAATTCTGTATGAACTATGCACCCAAAGAAGAGCATTCACTGGAACTAATTTAATGCGTGTTATGTGGCAGGTGATAAATGATCCTTGTCCTCAGCTACCAGAAATTTATTCAAAAGAATTACAAGAGGTTTTAGAACTGTACGTAAAATTAATGAGAATTTTATCCTAATCAAATGCTCTATTTGGTATACTTGTTTTAGTATGTGTATGCTATGATATTTTTATTCGTAAACGTCTCAACAAATTTCCACTTCCTTTGACTAGTAGTAAGTGCTCGTAGTTAAACACTAGCAACAATAAACTAACTTCATTTGCGAGTACTCGGCCAATTTTAAAGTCAGATGACTGAAATAGTTAAGGTTAGTGTCACTGGTTGTCGCTGGTCTGAGACAGTGAGAAAACATTTTTTGATCATAAAATTAATACTTTCACAAAGTCTTAATGAGTATAAATATTTATTTTCCGTAGGAGCCACTCATACTGAGTAACAAAATGTCAGAAAATTTAATTTTTTTACTCATTGGGATATTGCAAAAATGTTGTTATTTTATTACTAACACTACTAAATTCTCAGTTTATTTGAAAGTATCAAGTCAAACCTTGTTAATGATACCTATAAGTCTTTTGATTGTGTTACTCTGTAAGGAGTGTTGAACAGATTTGATGACTATTTTAGAAAATATTGGACTGTAAGTAAATTAAAGTCAGTATATACGCATTGTATTTGTAAAATCATAGAATATCCTAAGTGGATTTACTCAGAGCTATGACCTAGCGATTTCATCCAAGCTTCTTTCGAAGGATTTAAAAATATAATTTATTTATGGTATTATTTCTTACAATCATAATTTAAGGTACCATTTTGTTATCAATCTGTAGAAATAAGATGATAGTATATACGTCTGAAAAAGATATGAATAGTTTTTGACATTTGACAGACTGATAAAAGCGACCTAGATTCAAAACAACTCTTCAGTTAGTTCATAGAGTAATCACATCAACACATTTATGATGGTAGACAATTGAATAAATAAATGGTGCATAGAATAAGAGTTATCATTTTCACAATATTATTTTGACATGAAATGTGTATTTATACTGAATTGCTTATGAGATAGTAAGCTATTAGCATGGAGATTTAGAAACTTTTCACTTTCGAAACATTATCAACACATAATAACTGTTCATCTCCTAAATCTCTCTTATTTTCTGATCAAATTATTCACTTAATAATTTATTCTATTTAAAAATACTAATTACTATTTAATAACTGTCTTAATTATATTCTAGAATGTTAAAGAAGACTCCCCAAGAACGACCATCTGCTCCAGAACTTCTTCACTCAAATGCGGTTCACTCGTACTTACGTGTAAGTCCATCTTATTCGTACCGATTGTATTTGCTGGTTAGCCAAAATTGATTTAGTCGTATGCTCTTATCATCTCAAATTATTTTATGCTGGATATTAGATAAAACTAATGGGCGACATTAGCAACATCTGATATTGTATAGATGACTACAGAAAATCACAAAGTATGTTGTTTAAATATTTCTCACGACAATGTTCATATCCATTCAGAATTAGATTTCAAACTCTTAGTTTCAATCATCAATACATTAGTTTTTAATTTGTTTTCACTATATATATTATCAGTAAGTTCACGAAATAGTAATGTAACATAATAATGTAACATTCAATGTGTGGATTATATGCTATGAATATTCAAGTAAATTCAATCGAACATCATACTACCTATACTGTTTAAGATTATTTAATAAAAATGAATTACATTTTAGTATTAGTATGATAAATGTTTGAGAAACCTCTGACAATTCATTATTAACTTAATAAATAATATGCATGATCATATCAACCGATACTTTTGGTAAGAAATGTTAAACTATATAGGGAGTATGGTATTCGACTGAATTTACCTGAATATTCATAGCATACAATCCACACAATAAATGTTACATTATACTATTATACTATATATATTGGGAAAACAAATTAAAAACTAATATATTGATGATTGAAACTAAGAGTTTGAAATCTAATTCTGAATGGATATGAACATTGTCGTGAGAAATCCTTAAACAACATACTTTGTGATTTTCTGTAGTAGTCTATACAATATATATATATAATTCTGGGTATTTATTTTAATTTAAATCTTTAGGATTTATACAAAGAAATCATAATTCACATGCAAAACGAATTATCTGGTGAAAATCGGAAGGATGGGAGCGAATTTAATCTGTAAGAAAGCTAAAGTGCATAATCCAAAAAAATATGTTTGTTTGGTTTTCTATTCCTTAAAGTAAGAGCTTGTATAAACGAATATTTCCCCCTAATAGACATACTAGCTTCAACTTATGTCATATGACGCTAAATTTTCCCTTTTAAATTCTGTTAATTATTATCGTTATTAGTGACAAGTAATAGAAAGTAGTTAAACGGTTAAATCATTCATTTTTTGAGATGTGTTACCGTTTTCCAACCTCATTTTAGCTACTAACATTTTTTTACAGCCCTACAGTACTATTATCCTGAACGTATAGTAATTCTAACGATTTCTAAATTGAACATATTTGATAACAAGGAATATTTTCGGCCTTATTAATCAAACTGTTTGAGATACCTATAATAAGTTTAGTCAGTGGTAAAGAGTTTATATCTCGAACAGAAAGTGTATTAATACATCAGAGAATTTCCAATTGCCAAGTGTTCAGTTCAATATAGCCATTTATTCCATTTTTGAAAAATTTAATTGCATACTTACGAGGTTGTTTGAGCGTGTCGACCGCTTCACTTATCTTGGAAGTCTCATCAGCCCTTGTGGTCTGGTGTGTAACGAAATCTCAGCACGGATACAGAAGGCTCGACTAGCTTTTACCAACTTGCGTCATCTATGGCGCAGGCGAGGTATCCGTCTATCAACCAAAGGACGTGTTTACTGTGCAGCAGTTCGTTCCGTCCTACTTTATGGCAGTGAAACGTGGCCGGTAAGAGTAGAGGAAATTCATAGGTTACTAGTATTCGATCATAGGTGTCTTCGAAACATTGTTCGTATATCTTGGGAGCATTGAGTAAGTAATGCAGTTGTTAGGAAAAGGGTTCTAGGTAAGGATGGCAAATCGATTGATGAAGTGGTGAAACTTCATCAGTTGAGATGGCTGGGACACGTGTTACGTATGCCCAACGACCGACTGCCTAGACGTGCGATGTTTTCTGGTGTAGGAGTGGGTTGGAAGAAAGCTAGGGGCGGACAGATCAACAAATGTCACAAATCCATGAAGTCATTGACAAGTGAACTGAGCCATGTTGCTAGGTGTAGACTACCTGGTTGGGGACCGCGAGATGATAGCAACCGATGGTTAGAGACCCTGAATGACATGGCTCAAAATCGTTTGCAATGACGCAGATGCATACACTCTTTGTGTTCTCCCAAATTTTTAATCTCCTGATTCCTTTTTGTCTCTTTTTTCTCTTTCCAAATTTATTTCACTGTGTTATACTCTTTAAATAACATCTCCAAACCCTAATGTGTCCGATTACTGCTTATAATCTTAGTACCTCTACCACTACGGGATTGGAATCGACAACTGCATCTCTGTGCTAATGTGGTATGACAACTCGAACTGATGTACGTACGTACGAAGTTCTACGTTGTTACTGACTGACTGATTAGAAATTATAATTGTTTTGACATTTCGAAGCTTCAGTATATATAGTTTGTGGTTAGCAGTAGAATTCAGCTTGAGCGTTTCATTTCATTCAGAGCTAGTCGTCTGGACATATTTGCATCCTAGTGTTGGCATTTGCAATGAGACTGGATGCCAGCATTCTATATACTAAGTTAATGAGTCAAGATATCCACTTGTTCAATCGACTTGAAGACGTTATGACTTGATAATACTTTGATTATTTCAAGTTATGAACGACCGGGAGATTTTTTAAATACAAAACTGGATCTTTCCAAGTCAGACGGTTATTGCACGAAAGTTAGCTATACGGGAATAAATGAAATGGTAATAGAGAAAAAAAGGATTTTCAGAAGAGCTCCAATATTCCCCAAAACAGAAATAAAAACGTGATGCAACAATTACGTTTATATAGTAACAGCAATGACCATGAAAACAAATATCCTAATAGCTTGTTAAGAGAGAAAGTAAGCAATTAGTGAGTGGAAAACGTCAGTGTGATATTATGAAATAAAGTCATCAAGGAATTAGTTATTTGTCGAAACTACATTTTATTAAAGAAAGGTGAAAAACCAAATAATTTAATACTTTAATAAGAAATACTAGTATAGGGTTGCAAATTCTCATTGTTGATATTAAGGGTTGCAGTTGATTAGCTTCCGTTACTATACGTTCATCCTGAGCTGGTTTCTTCTCTATAGTCCTTAGTCATTGTTTCTGTAATTTTAGACTTATGTCGTTTGAAGAATTTATTAGTTTACCTGATTCAGTTTTGCACAAACAACAGTCAATTGAAAACGCTGAGAAGTTTTCAATACAATTAAATGAAGAGATTGAAGAGAATGTAGAACATTCAGAAGATCAGTACTTAACGCCACGTCAAAAAATCAAATTAAATAAAGCAACTGAATCAGATAGAACTACTGCAGTCTTAAGGTATTTCAGCACTTGTTCTTCTATCAAATTATTAGTATGTTTGTCTATCATATGATGAATCATTATTAGTACTAAGTAAGAAGTACAACCTTTTGGAATCACGTCTTGAACAGAAATACCAAATTTAAAATATAGTGTGATCCAGTCATTATAGACTCTTGTTGAGCACGTAATTGCTTGTAATAAACTGAAACCATGTGAAGTACAATGATAAAATTCATTTTTTGGGTAAATATCTTGTAAAATAAATAATTTTGATTTAACCAAGAATAAAATTAGCTCATTTGATTTTTTACCATACGTTAGACGTTTTGTTCTTAAAATCAAAGAGCTCAGTTTAGTTTGCAGATACTCTATGGTGTTACTTTGAAAGCAATAAAAAAGACGGAGCACTAAATGACTGTTTAGTTGTAGGTTAGAACTCCCTAGCCGTTTGCAAGTACGACTTCATAAGGGATTAAGCACACGATCTCTAGCTTCTTCAGAGAGTACAATACCTTTCGAGCATTAAGTAATAACTGTGTTTAAAATTTTCAAGTCGAGTTTATTCCCAACTTTGCACAATGATCAACACTATCTCGTAATATAGATCAATTTCTCTAACGATGATTTCTTGACTAGTCATTTATGCAGAACATCTCAATATTGTCTAACAGTGGCTATCAGTGGAATCCAAGGTGCATATTTTGAACTGTATAAATATTGACAGATTGACGGATATGCTTCAGTCATAGTGAATGTTAGTGTTCACTTCAACGCTAAAAGAAGTTATCGCAAAAAATCCCACCCATTAATGATCAACATACTGAGTTCGATGTTTCCAATTGTATACTATCCATGCAAGACTTGTTTTGTATAGTCAGTGAAATATGGTTTCTTATCCTGAATTCCAAATATTTTTTATCATTAACACAAAACTTAAATAATTTTTTTCTTCACTACCCATTATAATTTAGAGATTTAGCAGAACAGCTTACACATACTCGGAATAGTTTAAATTCTACAATGGAAACACAACTGTTCACCTGGCAGGTAACTTGTTTTTTGAAGCCTATATGATGGTTTGGTTAATGTTCTTCAAATTTAATTTATAATCAATCCATTGTTCTTTATTCAATCAAAAGTACTTTAATAATAGTACTAGTTCTTTAGTAAACGGTTTGATAACAGGGATGTTAACAGGTTACCACAAGTGTTGTAGTTTTGCCTACTCTAGAAACAATAAATCGACTAACTCCTTTGCTTAACTCGTCAGAAGATCGATTAAGAACACAAAGTCCGATGTTTTCGATCCTCCGATCAGAAAATCAGAAGGCTAGATGGATGATTGTAGATATCTTTTATCATTAAGATATATGACTCATACGATTGTAATAGTGAAATGCAATACCACAACGCACTAAAAATAAATCTCAATGAGTGCATAACTAGGACATTTGATACAAAGAAGAGTATCAGTCAGCTGTCTATCATTTACAAAAGATAACAGACAGAAACAATTAATCAGTCAAAAGGTGGCTTTTCATCAGCTTTGTGCTATTAAATATATACTAACTAATTCACTAAGGAATTGCTACCAAAAGTTCCATATTTCTTTTTTTTTTACACTTCTTTTTAAGGTCTCATGCATGAAATATATCCTTAAATGTACATGAAATCAAATTTAGTTAAATTAAAAATAATCATTCGATAAGAAGACAAGTACTCTTAATCTTTTATTGCATAGTTTTACTGTGAAACGATAACCTAGTTGTTGCTTAAATGTACAGCTACAAGAAGACATCTATTAAAACAACTATATTCTGTACTGATTATGTGTAAGAATAGTGTTTTTAAATGTTGAAAGTATAAAACTGTTTTTGTCCACGATTATTAAATCCGCTGTAAAGCTAGTCTGTTAACATAGCTTTTAGATTTGATATACGTTGAGTGATTGCTACCAATGAGATATTTTATACTTACATAGTGATTTTTCAAAACTCATTTTTATCCCAATCTATTAATATTTGATAGTCCAATCATTTTGGTTTTCAGTATGGGGTTGTGGAAATTGTTGAGATCATGAATCGAATTTTTTTATTGTTAACCTAAGTGTAACAAACTTCTAACACATTAAGCTATGTAGTAATATGAAAGTTTAAGACATTTCTAGTTTATATAATCTCACTATGACATGCGTTTACTCTATAAAATGAAAAAATACTCACTTTTCTCTAACGGCGTACATTGAAGATCTTACACGAAATGAAATTCAAGGCTTTCAGCAGTTACAACGAGCATGATATTTTCTGGACAATCTATCTTCAAAATACACTATTCTTCTTAAAATACCTAAGTAACCCGTTACATAAACCAATCCGAAATGTTATTAAAACTTTCAAAGAAATAGTTTATTCGGGCTTACTACCCTCAGGGTTGCAAAATGGACTGATAAGGAATATTTTGTATCTGACTGATTTCTTTAGAAGAAAGGAACTTTCGGTTTACTGATGTAACATTTGTAACAGTAAGATAGAAACGACCTTTGGTTTAAGAATTATTGATCAATTGATTGGTTGGATAAATATATATTTGACTGATTGCAGTTAGTAGAACGCTTATCCAATGCTAAATTTATCCTCATCTCAATGGAAGATTTACTAAAACGGCGATTCTAGCATTTGAGCAAGTTGCACATTACAGTGTTTACATAAAACATGACAATGCAACTTTTGAATAAAAGTAATTAGGACTAATTTTTCTAGTTAGGGAGCGACGAATTGCTGGCTTCAATGTGGAATTCTTTTAGGAACACATTCTTTATCATACTAAAGATATATTTACTGCTATATACAAATCATTAGTATAAGGGATTTATGCAAATCTCAGATACAATTTAAACACAAGTGTCATGAATAAAAAAGTATTACGATTAGCTTCAAGTCAACGTTTTTGTGCGTTATGTTTCCAGATTAATTTATCCACAGTGTAAACTTCTAAATTTCCAGCTAATAAACGTTCAGTAACTTACAGTTTATCCTAGATTGAACTTTAATTCATCCGTTTTTCTTACAATTTAGAAAGGATATCCATCATTGAATCATATATGGCCTACAATTCAAATACCTACAGAGAAACTGCTAAATGAATTAAAAAACCTTTATTTAGAAAAAATAAACAATGAAACAAGCTTGATTGATGAACTAGATGATGATTTGGAAAATGAAGGTGATTTATTTCGGTCAAAGAAATCAGATTTAAACGGTGAATAAATTCTAATTCATATTTTAATCTAGACAACACTTATTAATATAATTTTCATAGTTTACATCCCCGACTGATCTTAGATAGAAAACCGTTCGAAACCATGAGATGCTGAACAGCTGTCTCATCCAAGTGTCGGACTCTCTAGCAGTGTACACTGCCGACTGTACCTGAGATCGAACCAAGAACCCTTAAGGTCTCGCGGTGAGTGCTTAACCTTCAGACCACTGGGCTGAAATCCAGTTGTGTACATGTTTAACTTCAATCAAGTCGCAAGAATAGGCAACCACTTTCCATTGCTTTTGGTGGATAAAATCTCATGCTCGATATGGTTGAACTCCAGTGGTCTCATAATCTCATTATAACTCCAACAGTTGCAACCTGATGCTGGTCTTTAGGTGAGCACATGATTATTACTGACACAGAGGGTTTGAGAAAATTGTCTAACTTCCACATTTTACGTCACGGACTGATCTTAGTTAAACAATCAGTGAAAATCAAGAAACACTAGATGGCAAAACTAAAGGTCTTTGATTCAATCTCAGTACGAGTAGTGCTTGTGTACTAACGAAGATTCCTATACTAGGAGAAAACATCTGTCCGGTGCTCCTAGTTTTCAGCGACTGTCTAACTAAGATCAGTTGGTAACATGATTTTTCTACAAAATTTTCTGATTTATACAAAAATAATAACTGAATTTGAGAGAAAAATGTAGATGTTATCAGATTCATGTAGTCTTCTGTTGATCTATTGACATGTTACTAAGATATACAAGGAAGAACATCTGACGTTTACTCATAATTTTATTCACCACCTATTTCCAAATAAATTAACTGATCATTCATGAATAAACATAATGAAATTGATTGTTACTTAATGATCAATTTGTGTAAACATCTAAGTCATGCGAAATGTCAATAATGCCTCCAATAGCCAATGATAATGCCTCTAACTGTGATATTAAGGAATATCGCTTGAAATTTCACAAAAAAATGAATCCTTTCAAAATACCAAGCGCACTTCACTGATTAGTATCGACAGGGCACGACTAGGGTTTTCTACCAATAGTCTCTAACCGCTTAATAGATCACCTATAATTCGGCTTCTTCTACTCAGCTCCATAAGTTGTTAATTAATTAACTGTAGATTAATGATACTTTGACTAAAGTTTGTAAGGCTTGTGAGATGATGTTAGGTGATTGTAAGCAGTCGAAAAGCAGCCGTGGTTCTCGGCTCAGTAATAGTTGATACTTGTTAAGAAGATGTACATACAATCGTGAAAAAATCTATTAACTATGATCGTTTTGAATTAATATGGCGCCTCACTGAAGGGAATAAGTATTAAACCTGTTTTACTATTCGTGTGTATATTATGATGCATTTGTCTATTGACACAGAATATGTAAAAGCTGATAAATAAAAGTAACGAAGAGTAAACAGACAGTTATATTACTGATTTCACCGGAACTTGTTCTAATTCACTGTGTAAGGATTTTCACATCTACAAACTTACATGGTTTAGTCCATAAAAATTAGTGATCTCATTCCATAGATATTCAAAACATGGCAATAGGATGAAGTACTATCATCCAGTTCAGTAACATTACCTTGCTCTTTATGGTATTTATGTTTAAAATAAATTACTGATAGGATTTAAACATTCAACAGTCAAGATCTTAGATTAAATAAAACAAGTGAAAATCAGTAGACGTCAAAAGTGTTAAATTATGTTTCACGTGATATGCAAAATGATTGAAATCATCGAGAGATGTTGGTAAGTTGCATGAATTTATAGATGGTTTCTATACAGAGCCGTTAATTAGTTAAGTATATTCAGGGATTTTGATCACAATTAAAAATATTATAAATGGTACGTATTTTTACGATCACCTGGTAAGTAATTTTGTGAAGCAGATTTTCTATTCAATATACTTACCATTTTTTATTTTATTTCTAGACAATAAAAAATTGCCAGGTAAAGGTCCAGGTGCTGAAGATGAAAGTCTTGGAACATTTAATTTTTTAAATTCTACAAAACATAGAAATGAAGAAATCGAAGATTTAACCAACAATATGAGTTTTACTGAAATAAAAAATTTTTATCCTTCACCTAGATTAACTAGTCCAATTTATGATTATGTCACAATGGATGAATTTAAAAAACAAGTTGATATTGATAATAACCCTAATATTATTAAAAAGGGTAATAATAATCAAGAAGCTTTGTTTATACGTCGACAATTTACGTTTCCAGCAATGTTAAATCAAAATTATGCACAATCAGCAAGACAACTGAGTGATATTAATAGTTCCAAATTGAAATGTAATAGTGGTAAGTATGCAAATTATGGAGTTAGCTTGTTACACAGAGAAGTCTACAATTATTGAAGCAACACAGTTTTTTTCCACGTATGTATGTCGCATCCCTATCAGTAGCACATGAGCTTTTGCCCATGAATCCAATGACATACAAATAGGTATAATTACTCACCTAGGAGCGTAGGTGATCACTAATCCCTTCAAACGTATTTAATACAATAGACTGTCTATTACGCATAACATGAATATCATAGGTACATAGACTTTCGTCCATGCACTTCATGATAAGCACATGCGCATAAGCACTCTCAGGGAGGGTTGATAGTAAACTTTGTGACTTCTTATTTTAGTAATGCCTTCAACCTGGTTTAGGCCGCTGATTTTATTAGACGTAGGGCAGACATTTAAACTTACTTCGCTTATGCTAGTCCAGTGAGTACCCTATGTACATGTCAAAATACAAAGCTACATAAGCTGAGGCTTGTGTAAATCATATACATGAGGGTACACATCGGGCAGCTCTCAAGATTTGAGGGGTTGGAGGTTGGGATCCTAAGTGATCCAGATACAGCAGATTGGCGAATTAGTCCTATCTCCGCCAAGGTTGTCCCTACTACCAAGCAGCGCCACAAGTAGGCCTCAGGTCGAATTTTCATAATCCAACGTAATTTTATGACGGTAAAATGAATAAGAATATAAATCATGTTTGGCAATTTTAATAAAATTTATAATTAAAATTTCAACTAATCTTATTGATAATTGTTGTTTTAGTACTCGTATGAATTTTACTTCATTTTTCGAAAAAAATCTTTATTTTAGTATTTACTGACGATACCCAACTAATGGAAACTTATTACACAAATTATGATAATGAACTGTTAAATTATACAAACAATTTCAATAAGGAGGATTTAAAAGAATTAATAGAAAATGAAAATATTCTTCAAAATGATCTAGAAGATATAGAAAATCTAGATAATGTAGATTCAACTGAAACATTAAACGATGTACTTGTTTGCATGAAAGCAGCTTTGTGTCACCCTGAAGGTTGGACCATAGAATAGTTTAAATTTATGTTATTATCTTATAATTTTCATGTTATATGACTGTAAATGTTCTGTAATGTTTGAAATAGGTCGGTTAGCGACAGCCAGTTGTAATTAGTGAAAGGTACAGATTAACAATATGGTTTCGTAGTCAGTTACTTATCACGACTTTTTATGTAAAAGTAAAAATGGGAATTTTTTCTGTTATCTGTGATTAACAATGAGTAGTTAATTAGACGAGTGCATGAAAGTTGGGTAACGAGATTATTAAAAATGTTAAGTTGGATTAAAATTAAAAATTAAGTTAAAGAAAGACACTGTTTTTGGATAAAACATAGTAGTAATTAGGAGGATGTATAAAAATTCGCTGTTTACAAAGATTAATTTTATCCACATGTCTTCCTATAGCTTCTAGTGTGTGCAAGAGTCAGATTCTGGAATCATAGGGTAGGCTCTTTGAGCTTCTCTAATTAACTTTAAAGGCTGCATTTTTATCAACGTGATGACTTATCAAATAAACGTGACCAGGTAGAACTTTATAGTGTTTTATTTTGTTTTTTTGGTCAACCATGAGAGGTGATTTTTAGAAACATGATGATGCATTTGTCTCGTTGTGCATTTAAGAGCAAGAGTATTTGAAGTGGTAACTACTTATAGAAACAGAAGAACTAAGCAATTCATTCTTATTTCGCTAACTCACTGTTGAGCGGTTCGAGAAGGAAGGGCATAATATAACTGCGTTGAATTTACGTCCTGCACTTTTTTATTTTCGACGAATGACCATTTCTCTGGCTATATCACTCTATAACTGTAATTTCGAGAACAAAGTTTCATTCGGTACCGTCAGTGATTTGACCTCATGTTTAGTTCCAGACATTTGTTTCGTTAAAATATTTTACGTGGATTCGAATTAACTCAGTAAATCATGAATAAATTTTAGTTCATCTTGAAGAGTTCATCATGACAAGTAATTTTGGCTATGTGAGCTATGTACTTGAATAAGTTTCTTTTATATTGTATTGGGACAAAGCTGAAAAATGTGTATATCTATTTCATTTAGACGGTTTATGATAAACATATTTTCTCATTTTCCCTCCAGTTCTTTTCGTCAGTAAAACATCACAGTTTTCTTTTTTCTTAGTGAAAGTGATTGATTAGGGGACTCTGTTAAACGTTTCTAGTAGGCTCTAAGCTTCACTATTGTTTTTTGTAACTAGAAAATATATCATACATATAGCGAAAATATAATCTTTCGGGGTTCGTTTTGTTGATTTGATCGGGGTATATTTTTATGATGACAGTTTTAATCTTTAAATGTAAATATACAACATTATATTAATCTTTTAGACAGTAATACAATAGTCTTGGATGATGAAGCTAAGACCATATTTAGTCCAGAGGCTAAAGCCAAACGAATTGATGCTTTAAAAAAGTAAGCATTATATCAAACTATTTTTCATATTCTTTTAAACTATTTCGCTTATTAGTTCTTATGATTAACTGTGAATTAATACGTGAAGTGTTAACACTCCAATAGTTTATATACCGATGAAGCAGTGCCGTGCTCAAACCTCTGGGTTATTGATTCCCTAACGTAAATTTGTTTCCATAAATTTTCATATTTTGAAATCATTTAAATGAGTTTATTAAGTCTGGTTGCTGCGTGTATTCGCTTTCATAAAATTTTTACGATCAATCTTGAATTTAGTTACTCCGAAACTCAACCAACTGCTACCTTGAATCAGAAAAAACTGGAAGCGCTCACACTTAAACGTGTTATCAGTTTCTGAAATTACTATCTATTAATCTGAGTCACATGGGTAGATAATGGGGTCCACACGATAGCCGTCATTAGTAGTCGAAGACTTCGGATGATATTACTTAGAAGCGGTCAAAGTGGAGCAGGTGCATTCATTCATTATCTTTATCTATATTTCGATTTCCACTATTCCCTCATAAATACTTTTCCACTCTGTCTTTTGGAATTGTATTCTCAGTGTCCGATTTTTTCTGTCATCATTGATACTGTATAATTTCGATTGTTTTGCCTTTCGTCTTTTTAAATTTCTCTCGTCATGCTTATATGTTAACCGAACGGACATGCGTACCAGCTTCTACTTTTATCATGACTGACTGGCTGTAGGACAAAGTGAGCATTATTATTGATTTTAATAATTTGTGTTTCGTATAGCTAGCAGCATCAAATTTATGACATTGCATAAAAAGATTTACAAAGAAGCTGAAATGCCTTATCAGTTTTTGAGTTATTTTACAAAATATTTCATCAGTTCTCGAAGTGGCTGTGTGTAGCCATGTTTGTAATCATAAGAAGAGATAAACTTAGTATTCTAAAATGTTGTATAAAATATTCATCGGTTAAAACTGTTAAACTTTGGAGTAATCTACCAAAATGATATTGAGACAAACACTCTCTACAACCCCTGTACTGACAAGAAACAAATGCAGGTGCATTCAATTGACGAGTCCCAAATAAGACGAAACGTGCTTCTTAAACATGACCCATAGCCACATCCCATCCATTCCTTATGAGCAAGAAATATTTTTTGAAAGGGGAAAACAAAACCACTGTCAAAATACTGGGGATATAAACAATAAAGAAATAATCGGGTGGTATTTTTACTATCTAATTTGTTTTTAGTCACTGGTTGCTAATATTATTATTCACAATCACATCAAAGAAGTCTTGTTCTTTTAAAATTATTTCAATAAAAATTCGTTAGTTTGATAAATGAATACAATAAGTTCATCATAAGCTCATAATGTGCTGGCTAACTGCTATCGAAATTCATTTTTATGATAAACATACTCGGTATGACAAAAAAAGCAGGAAGACTGATAATTACAATCCAGTATAAAATAGATAATTACAATAACACAATTTTCAATTATAACATAAATCAATTCAAAGTAATAAATAAACTTTGGAAAACTAAAACAACTAATATTTGGAAAACTACTGTTCTAAATTTAAAATAATTTATACTTTTATGACTGCATAAACTTTAATAATTTTGAAACAATGCCAAAAGTCCTTTACCTTTAACAAATAATAACACTAAATTCATTTTAAAGTCTTTATTTTTAATTCCAAGCAATCGATGATGCCGTTAATTGTTGGTTTGATTTATCTAAAGAGAATTACCTGTTCCATAGTTTCAAGTTTTCTAAATTTGTATATCAATCATATAAATGTCACGAAACAACTTCCCTACAAAACCTTAATCATTAGAACTATCCACAGTTACAGATATTCGCGAATGTATATAGGAGGATCGAGTCCATTTAATTCTAATTTTGTAAATGTTTAATTACCGATCTTCGAACCCACTTCTTTTTTTTAAGCATAACTGATTCGTATTAGCAGATAAAATCAAATTAGAAAATAAATTCAAATGGTTGATATTTCTCAAGCTTGTAGTTTACTGAACAACGACTGTGTTAGCAATTTCTTAAACCGAAACGTGGCACATTTTTCTAACGTTTCATATTATGATCTTTCCATACATATTCAGCTTGTAATAAAACGTATCGTACATTTTAAATAAAGGTTGAGTATTAGAATTCAATACGGTCATTTACGATTATCATAATAATGAGGAAGACGATTTTTGTAGTTTTCATCATTGAATAACGACTGAATAAGCAATAATGAAGTTAATTGTAGGGTACCGGTCAACAATAGGAGTTGATATCCATGGATTCATATGACTGCAGTATGTGCTACGTTTGACCGGCCATACATATCTTGATGTACAATGCCGCTTGGGATAGAAGTTGCTTGAAAGAAAACTTGAACCAATCAGAGTAAAATATAGCATCAGTCCACGGGATCACTGATTATTGATCATTAAATAGATCCTCAGTTCCTATACTACTTCATACTTCTTTACTCTGCTAGGTTTGCCTCTCTTTTTCAACCATCTCCCTATGCTTAGTCTTAACAGTATTAATACTATTATTACTTTAAGTCCTTCGTTATTTAACTTGTTAATTTCATCTTGCTGTATCAGGTCAGGTGCTATATTTATTGTGAGTGGCTTAATAACACCATCCAGGAAACCATTGAAACTGAGGGGCACTAGATAGCTGTCTCATCTTACTTTGGCGCTTCTCAGAATTGCACCCCAGGGACCCCACAAGGGATGAAATTCGGTTTATCCTTGATGAGAAATAACTTCTAAACCATCATCCAAGTGATGGCGAAGGTTAAGTTCAAATAATTTTTTCATGCTACACTAACAAATAATCGAAAATTGTTCAGTAATATCTATATTAAAAATATATCCTTTGTATTTCAGATACTGCATCGACAAACTTGGAGAAAAAGAATTTCACAATGCATATCACTATCTTTATCAAAAACGTATTTTGGAGAAAAATCAATCTGGTGAACTAACAATACTAAATGGCTTAAAATCTTATTGTTCCGATGTGACTACCGGGTTTCTACTTGATCATTTATTATTTCTTGAAAATGATGCAGTAAAACAAACAATAAATATTCAATTATCTGAATCTGTTCATCAAATCTTAAACGATGATTTGTCATTTTATGCGTAAGCTAAATTACGTAAACATAACTAATTCATGGCTGTGAATTTTATTTGGATCTCTGGTTTTTCTAAACATAGACTATAATTCCCATTATTTGGAAAGTTTTCCGTTCTATTCCTAAGAATAACAGTTACTATTGTTGTTTACTTTTTCATAACTTATTTTATTTTATGCTCAACAACTACTTGTCTTATAGATTTTATACCCTGAAAACATTTCTCATTTTGTAGTTTCTATCCTAATTTGAAATAATTCCATCCATGGATAAATATACGGTTTTAGAAATTACCATTTATTAATCTATCATTTTTTATTGTTACGCTTAATTATTAAACAAATGGTGTTTTTGAAAATAGATTTCCATTTTTCAGATAATGCTTTGAGTTTAGAAATAGTGGAGCAGATGCATTCGCTCTTTATCTTTGCTTAGATCTTATTTCAGAAGATCATTAAACTTTCGATAGTGATATATTGTTGTCGTTGCTTACTACTATACTGACTACTAGGTTCTTTGTATTGGATAAACCATTAAGAGTTTACTAAGTAAGCATTTAAGGTTTTTGCTTGTGAAAAACGATGTGCTATGGCAAATCCCATAAACATCCAAGAAGAATGGTTATTTCACAAAGCAATAGACAGCCTTCCCTCTATTTCTCATCTAACAGTAACTTGAAGTCGCAACGTGGAATAATCAAATAATATTGTCTTACTTCTTTTTCCCAGCAGCTTAGCCAGCCATTGTCAGGGGGTCAAACAAAAGTAACGATCTCAATCTTATGACAGGTAAAATAAACTCCCATACGTCAAAAAATTAACTTTAACTAATTACATCTGATTCTAGTGGTCCATATACTTCGACTAAGGCATAAGCTTGCTACCACTACTGTAGTGAACAAGAACACCACTGGGGACAGTCGAATGTATTCAGCACAAAATTACAGGACTTGTTAATGAAATCTAACAATCAAATAGTAAATACTTAATTTGCGAAATCTCCATCAATTGTCTCATAATGACTCAGAATTCATCGTTCTTGCATTTTCATACAAATTGCATTCTGTTTCCATTCTTTACTGTTCGATCCTCTTGTCTCTCTGCTGCCAGACATTCTGTTCACGACTAACACCATCTACTACTTATGTAAATATAAGTAGCACACACCACACTACTACTATTATTACTTCTTGATTAACCTTTCTAATGATTAATTTTCAGTAGATAAGTGTTACATGTCAAAATAGTCATATTTAATCACTGGATAACCAAAACTCTATAGTGCACCATGATGTGACTGATCAACAGTTAACTGATAGAATAATGTGGCTATTTTAGTTGACAAAAAATATCCAATTTATATCTCTTGACAGCCCAGTTGTAGAAACCATTTACTGCTTAACTCTCTTCATAAACATACTGTTACATTAGTACGGGTGCCGGAAAATAACCAGTCGTAAAGACTGAATTTGGGTACAAAATAACAGTATATGTGTAAGTTAAAAAACACATTAAATAAAGGATGCTTGAAACCACCGTGCAATTATTGTTTGACTAGTTTTTAGTTTACTAAGGATAGTCTTTCCAATAGCTAAAATGTCAATCATTGTAAGAAAATGATACCGTGTTCATCGAAAGCTTTGTGTGTTTTGCTTTATTTATCCTTAAACATATTATAAACAGACAATTCGCGAGTTTGATGGACTATTTAAAAGAGATATAAATCATCTGGAACTCGGAAAGATATATTTATTGGATATCCAAAAAGCTCCAGACACCATTGCATCCTAATCGGTCAAAAAATCTGTGAGTTCCAATCGTCTCCATTTCGTCGTATTTTCTTCTTACATACAGGCTATTTTGTCAAACAAAAACAAACTATTTTGTCAACCAGCTATATTTTTGTTTCATACACATAGTTCCCTTTATTATTTTAAAGAGAGCAAGAACAAAAATTGGTGCAGAATAATATGAATTCATTTTATTTCGTTAGGTTCTCATCAGCTGCTTACAACCTAAATTATTTAAAATTCAACATTAATACAGATATTGACATATTTATATATAAGAGTGTGATTAAGGATCAATACATGTGTATGATGATGTAGCGAATATTCAGATAGAGTTAATGAGCTCATAAAATGTTTGATTCGAATAAATAAATAAAGTTTGAGAGGGAAAGTTCCAGAACATTGAAATAGTGATTAGAACTCATGAAAATAGATTAATGGTAATAAAGAAAATATGAATTGAAATCAATCAGTTATGTATGATGTAATTTATATTTCAGAAAGAGTTACAATAATGACGTAATAAATAAATAAATAGGAGCAAATTAATAGAAAGAGTGGGGGTTATTGTTACCAGGGTAAAGAAAGATTTATTACTGTCTCTTTTTGTATACATAGATCTGGTTTTAAACGTTTGATTGCTAACGCTTCAGCGAATTTCAAAAGGTTCGAGTTTGATTGTTTGTTAATCACCTTGAAGGACTTCAGTATATCAGCTTTATGTCCTGTATCAAGGAGATGTCTGGCGATAGCACTGTTGAATGCGTTCAATCCATTTAACCTTAAACTTTTCGGAATATGTTCTTTGAATCGGACGTAGGCTCTCCTTTCTGTTCTACCAATGTAACTGCTTTGGCAGGTACATGTAAATTTGTATACACAGTTGGTGGTAACATGAAAGGGATACCTATCGACCTTTGATTGTGTCAAAGAGCATGTTGTTTTGGACAGGACAATCAATTTCGCTGCAGGATAAGTTCTTGTCAGTGCAGTTTTTAGTCTCATATTGATTGATCCTGTGACATCGTCACCTTTGAATTGAAGTTTAATAAAAATAGGCTTTTTATTTGCTGTAATTTCTTTCGGCTTTTTAACTTCACATTTGCCGTATTTCTCAATAAATTTCAGTGGGTATCCGTTATTCTTTAAACATTTTTTAACATTCATAACTTCCTCTTCTAGTGTATCGGAAGTACATATTCTTTCTGTTCTGTAAAACAGTGTTTTGACCAGTGCCTTTTTGTAACTGATTGGACAAAAGCTATTGAAATTAAGATAACTACCATTCCATGTGTCTTTCTTATAAACTGAACGTTGAACTGTACCATCTTTTCTTCTTTTCATCGCGATATCGAGAAAATGGAACTTGTTTTCTTTTTCATGTTCCATAGTGAAATGGATATTCGGATGTGCTTCATTGAAAAACTCTAGCAGATTTATTGCATGTTGTTTATTATTACATACGATGAAGGTATCATCAACATATCTCGAATAATACGTCATTTCATCAATCGCTCGTTTGAGTTTGGTTCTTTCGAGGTTAGCCATGAAAATATCTGCTAGGATAGGACCTAACGGACTTCCCATCGCTACACCATCGATTTGTTTGTATATGATATCGTTGAACTGGAACTGAACATCTTTTGTACAAATGAGTAATAGTCGTTTGAATTCTGGTACTGGTAGAGGTAGGATGTCAGAATGTTGACAAATTATGTCTATGGTCTCAAGAAGTGGTATTTTTGTAAACAAAGATGTTACATCAAAAGAAACCATAAACTTACCGGCAATATTTATGTGATTCATGCTGTCAGCAAATACAAATGAATCCTTTAGTGTATAGGTGGCTAATCGTTGACGCACTGGTTCTAACTTATCTGCCAACCATCGTGCAACTTTGTGGTATGGTGAATTGATCATTGACAAAATAGGTCTAAGAGGATAACCTTGTTTATGTATTTTCGGTAATCCATACATGTGGGGCAAACGAGACCCACGAGGTCGTAGATTATTGTAAGTAGAGTTATCGATCATTTTCTTTTTCAGAAGATCTCTGAGTACTTTGGTGATTCTTTTCTCAATGGAATCAGTTAAGTCTTTGTTACTTTTCTCTAACTTGAATCTCATATGGTCATTCAAGATGGACTTCATCTTAAAAACATAATCTGTTTTGTTCATTAGAACAACACTTGAGCCTTTGTCTGACCGTAATATCATTATATCGTCATTTCGTTTAATATTTCGTAATGCTGTTTGGTGGTCTTTGGATAAAAGCTTAGACTGTGGTGCGGGTGAAACAAGATATTGGTTTGCAATATCGACTAGTTTAGATTTAAACCAGCCTTTCTTTTCTTCACTAACTGGGTGCAACTCTTTAATTTGATCAAATAAATTCTCAAATTGAGTTTCTGTGTCGATTCTGTCGGCATGTGTTTTGGGGATATGAAATTTAAATCCAAGTGACAAGGCTTCTGTTTCTGTCTGATTTAACTTCATTGTTGATAGATTATAGAGAAACTTTTCGGGGTTTTCCGGAAAGCCAAAACATAATTGTTCCTTTGACAGAGTCTTTGACAAAGTTACGTGGAAATTCTTGCATATTTTGCTTTGCAGATCTTGTATAAAGTTGATAAATTTTATGCGACATACGATACTTAGATTGTCGATTAATTCATTAAAGGCATTAGTTTCTGCCCTCAAACGTTCAATCAGTAACTTTGTTGATTCAATGTGAGATTTTGTGATGCGTCGAAGATTTTTAAGAGAAGGCGGAAGTTTAAATGAGCGTAAAGACTTTAAGAACTGACGTGGGAAACGGCATGACTTGAGACATTCATCAAAAAACTTTAGTCGAGTTATTTCTCTCGATATTCTGCAGCGTATTGTCACCAGGCGATTCAGTGACTTGAGTGACTGTGCAGGGAGACGCATTTTGAGAAATTTCATACACATAGTTCCCTTTATTATTTTAAAGAGAGCAAGAACAAAGATTGGTGCAGAATAATATGAATTCATTTTATTTCGTTAGGTTCTCATCAGCTGCTTACAACCTAAATTATTTAAAATTCAACATTAATACAGATATTGACATATTTATATATAAGAGTGTGATTAAGGATCAATACATGTGTATGATGATGTAGCGAATATTCAGATAGAGTTAATGAGCTCATAAAATGTTTGATTCGAATAAATAAATAAAGTTTGAGAGGGAAAGTTCCAGAACATTGAAATAGTGATTAGAACTCATGAAAACAGATTAATGGTAATAAAGAAAATATGAATTGAAATCAATCAGTTATGTATGATGTAATTTATATTTCAGAAAGAGTTACAATAATGACGTAATAAATAAATAAATAGGAGCAAATTAATAGAAAGAGTGGGGGTTATTGTTACCAGGGTAAAGAAAGATTTATTACTGTCTCTTTTTGTATACATAGATCTGGTTTTAAACGTTTGATTGCTAACGCTTCAGCGAATTTCAAAAGGTTCGAGTTTGATTGTTTGTTAATCACCTTGAAGGACTTCAGTATATCAGCTTTATGTCCTGTATCAAGGAGATGTCTGGCGATAGCACTGTTGAATGCGTTCAATCCATTTAACCTTAAACTTTTCGGAATATGTTCTTTGAATCGGACGTAGGCTCACCTTTCTGTTCTACCAATGTAACTGCTTTGGCAGGTACATGTAAATTTGTATACACAGTTGGTGGTAACATGAAAGGGATACCTATCGACCTTTGATTGTGTCAAAGAGCATGTTGTTTTGGACAGGACAATCAATTTCGCTGCAGGATAAGTTCTTGTCAGTGCAGTTTTTAGTCTCATATTGATTGATCCTGTGACATCGTCACCTTTGAATTGAAGTTTAATAAAAATAGGCTTTTTATTTGCTGTAATTTCTTTCGGCTTTTTAACTTCACATTTGCCGTATTTCTCTAGTTAGTTTGGGAGAGGAGCTTAAACCACCAACTAGATTTTCACGAGCTGTGGTCACTTAGTCACTTCATGTTATTTCAGTCGATCGACTGTGACAGCACGAGATTTCTTATCCCATACCATGAAAAAACAACAGTTCAAGGCTCTCAGGTATCGACCGATTGTCTAACCGAAGCCAGTCCATTATGTGAGGCTAATAATTCGACAGATTCCACAACTCACTATGTCGACATACTTTCAGTTTCTATGCTTTCACTGTTGCTTCAATGAAGGTCAATTTTCAATTGGGAAAAACAGATAGAAAATTCATTAGAAATCAACAACTACATAACTCGAATTGGAATTTCATGTAGTCTTCTGATTTTATTAAACAGATAACACCTTGTACATAACGCAAACTATCCGTAAACATGTGGTTTAGCATTTCTTATCTCTATCTCTCTCCCTCCGTCATTTATTTCTCCGAGTTATTTCCATGTCTATGACAAGCATAATCACATTTTGGTGATTACATATCGATTTGTCTCTCACTGAATTTGATTAGCACCAATAATCTGTTCACGATCTGTTACAGTGGATGCATAGTTCAATAAAATGTGTCAAATTCATGAAAGTAGATCAGCAAATGAATAGATAAACAAAGAGAACTGAATAGATTTTCTGGAGGTAAACAGAATGGCTCAACTATTGATTAGAATACAGAAAATTAGTTCACACTTCGAAAACGTAATAATTTCAAGTGGCTGATCCATACATTTGTTTCTTAAACAGATCTACAAAATTGAACATTGAAATCAGGTGTTACTGTGTGACTGGTCTGAAGTCGATTTCTATTGTGGCAGTTAACTTTCTAGCTTGCATTATTCAAGTGTTTTAGCAATGAGACGTCGGTGAACTCAGTAAGTTCAGTGAGAATGAATTTCATCTTAGTTTGATCAAGATACGATAATCAATAATATTGAGATTTATCGAGAAAATGATCACTGCATACTTATGATGTAATTCATAATATTTTAATTAGGCACCTGAAACTTGTATTTACCGTATAGAAGTAAGTTTGTAATATCTTCTGTTTGATGTTTATGTATGTGTAATTGTCTAGAGATGTTCTGAAGTGTGAGTTGTATGTTGTTTGACCCTATTTTGGTCAGAAAATTACCAGTCTAAAATATCAGAGACTACAGCGTAGTGATGTCAAATCACTTGAATTGCTAATCAGATTTCAACTTGGTTAGTAGAATTCGTTGTTCCCTAATAGATTAAATCGAAATATGACTAAATGACCAATCAACCGTAAATTGGTGATTTGCATAACATTTTTGGCGATAGAAATACATTAATCAGGTAAAATGCTTTAGGTATAGGCACACTTATTTGATTCATACGTACTAACACTGGTCTCTCGTGTAACGTGGTTTGTACTATACTTTACTATTAGTTAAGCAGTTTCTGTAGCTTTTTAACTGTTGTATAGGTCAATCGGAATAATTCTGTATGAACTATGCACCCAAAGAAGAGCATTCACTGGAACTAATTTAATGCGTGTTATGTGGCAGGTGATAAATGATCCTTGTCCTCAGCTACCAGAAATTTATTCAAAAGAATTACAAGAGGTTTTAGAACTGTACGTAAAATTAATGAGAATTTTATCCTAATCAAATGCTCTATTTGGTATACTTGTTTTAGTATGTGTATGCTATGATATTTTTATTCACACTCGAGTTCAATTGTTTTAGCAATGAGACGTCGGTGAACTCAGTAAGTTCAGTGAGAATGAATTTCATCTTAGTTTGATCAAGATACGATAATCAATAATATTGAGATCTATCGAGAAAATGATCACTGCATACTTATGATGTAATTCATGTGACCTAACTTAAACTCATTCAAAGTTCATTAATTAAAGGTTTATCATCCACTAACTACTTTTTGCAAAATAGAAGTTAGCTACATGCGTATAAACAATCTTCACTTTATTTTCTGAATACATACAACCGACGGCAATGAATGACGACCGTGTTATATCTCGAACTAACTGAGATTGGAAAGGTGAACCATCGGGCACTAGATTGGTCGTTTATAAATAACATTTTAAACGGGGCATCTGGAGGCTCTAGGTCTGAAACCTGGTGAGTAAATAATGCTATAGACTCCTATCTATGATAAAACTATTGGCTAATATTGCCTGGTTTTAATTATTTTTAAGATAAAGTTAGTCAATGATGAAAACTGTCTCCCAAATTGGTTAATCACAATAGCCTTCCTATCGTAACAACGACAATTTTAGTTGGATAGCTGCCCAGATTTCTGGAGTTCCTTCATATGAGCATATGAAAGAGACTTTTTTTAAGTTAACCAGAACAAAATTGTTATATCTATATAGTTAGTTATCATTCAGACAAACTACGTCAAAGGAAAATAACTCAACGCAAAGGCTATTAATAACAAACACATTTATATTCTTGTTAGCGTTTTTTAGCGAGTTAGTTTTCTACGGGATGGGGTCGCTAACCCCATCCCCAACCCTTCTTCTTTATCCGGGCTTGGGACCGGCAGTAGCCCCCGGAGGGACTCTAGGTGGAGGACAGAGTGGGTTGGAGAATGCTGGTCGGCGGCCTATGCTCCATTAGGAGTAACAGGCGTAAGTAAGTAAGTAAGTAACTACATTTATATTCAATGTTATAAGTGAGAATATTTAATAACAATTCAGTTCTTGCTAACTTGCTAACTTTGATCTGTTATTGTTCTCTTTGCTAATCACTTAAATTGAACTATAAACTGCTCTTTCAAAATTTTTCTATATAATTCTGATACAAATTAAGTTATTACCAAAGATGATTATTGTTATCGAAACAGTGCTAAAGTTTATCTCTGAAATCAAAAAATATCACAACTAGATTTTTATTGTATTTTAAGGTTTAACCTTGTGAAATAGTCATTTGACTTAGTTAACAGAGAACACTTTGTATTAAAGAAATCATGTTTTAAAAAGACAAGTATCAAAGTTCTTAAATAATTAGGTGCTAATATATAAGATGTAAGCGATTACTTCTAAGCTGTGATGCATTTTATCATTGAAATACTTGAGACGGTGATATATATATATATATATATATATATATATACCCGCCACTTATTTAAATATTATCGTACAAATGCATAAGCTTAACTTACAATTAAATTTAGTAGGTGTCTTTGAAACTGTTTCAATGTACACAAATAAACATAATAGTTTTTAATTTTTACTTTTAGTTTGATCACCTGGGCAGTTAACTCCGAGTCAACATCCAATGGACAATATCCATTAGTGATGATCCCCGGAACAGCTGGGTGCCAAGCTTTTGCCGTGCTGAAGAATGATCCCAATCATAAAGCGCTACCTGTATGGTTAAATTTGGAATTTTTTGCATTTATAAAACATTTTACTGAGTATTTTAAGTTAGTTAAATGTCTATTTTTTGTGTCATACAAAATCTGGAAATTATAAAACAACTCTATTCTAGATTACAGTATGATCCAAAAACTGGTCACAGTTATGATGCTGAAGGTGTTGACATTATTTTTCCAGGATGGGGTGAAACATGGTCAATTGAGAATCTAGATGAAAGACCAAATATGTTTTCTGAATATTTTGGTTCATTGGTTAATGCTCTAAGAAAAGATCCGTTTTATGTATCAAATTTTACAATGAGAGGCGCACCATATGATTTTAGAAAAGCCCCAAGTAAGACATATTTTTATAGAAAAGTTTTACGCACTTAACGTTTTAGATGAAAACGGTGAATTTTTCAATAAATTAAAAGCCTTGATTGAGGAAACTTATGAAAATGCAAAACAAAGACCCGTTGTCCTACTACCACATAGTATGGGATGCTTATTTGCTCAGTGGTTTTTGAAAAAATGCGATATTCCATGGAAAAAGAAGTATATAAAATCTCTGGTGTTTTCCAGCTGTCCATTCGGGGGTTCTGTGAAAACAGTGAAGATTGAAGCTAGTGGTAAGTACGTTTTAAAAATTGATGCTGACAGCGAAGTGTTTAAGAAATTAGTCTGGCCATGAAATAATCGGATTTAACCATATTTATAACAACTCCCGAAATAGAAAGATTACACTCATTAATATTCACACAGAAACTCCCAAAAGTCAATAATATCCATAAAACACAAAGTAACTAACTAATTATTTGTTGTAAATAAATTTTTAGCTTAGTCAATAAATTTGGGGAGTTTAGCTTTTGGTGAGTATCAAGCCATTGTTTAGTATACTGGATAAATGATAACCATGTTTTATTGATGAATTATAAAATGCTGGCGTTCTAGTAAAAAAAAAGATTATTATTTAGACAAGTATTGGAGATCTTGTTAAGGCCTTAAATTCATTTAAGTTTGACCTACTACTCAGTTATATATCAGCTTCATGGGTAAAAATAGGCTAAAGTTAAAACTTTTAAATACTACTGAAGGGAACGCGTGTTTCACTAAACAGTAATGTTCATTTCTAAGAAATGATACTCTTAAATAGAATAGACTTAAATTATAAGTTTGGAAAGTGAATAATTAAAATACATATATATGCTGGGTTAATAATCTTCTATCGTACACTCATGGATAAGTTATATATGAAAAAGGCACATGAGTATAACTTACTTTCTATTATATCATTATTCAGAAATATTAAAATTTGTAACCCGAAATATACATGAACATGAAAACTATGAAATAATACTTTACCCTAACTAGAGATAAACGATTTTTCGGTCATTTCTTCTTTATTCAGACCGCTGAATAGATTTTATTAAGAAGTTAATTATATATCAAATTGATGCATTGTAAAACTACATTCAGACACAATACAAACTGAATACCTAGTTGTTTATTAATTTACTTAAAAATAATTCATTCTGACATGTACATCATTAAGCTCTAAATCTATGTTTTATTGAATCAGCTGTTAGATATGTTTAAAATCTTGAAAAAATTAAAATCCTCAATAGAACTTAAATATCCTTCACCCAATAAGTTTTTATCATTAGGTTATTTGATTTGAGACTCCTTTCCCTGTGTATTTCATTTTTACAATGACTTCCAGAAATTGTTTATACTTGTAATAAATGAAAATATACATGGTTATTCATACATAGTTAGTGTAAACTTTGATAATGTTGACAAAAATCACAAATACCTAGTGGATTTGAGTTTGTTTTACTACTAGTATTCTTTACGATATCGTTTACTCAAGAGCAAAGTATAATTACTGCAGTTACGCGCAGCTACAAATCCTCTAATGACAAAATAAATATAACAATTTAGTTGTGTTTTAATTTTAAATCTCAATTGAATAGACAGATATCAGGTTTGGTGAATATGTGTATGTGATAAGGCTGAAACCCATTTTAATCCCAAAGATTAATTGGTTAAACGACCATGATATTAAGTGATTTCATGTTTTACACTAATCAAGATTGTGAAGTCTTCACAGAAAATCTTGGCATTTCAAACTAAAAGTCATGAAATCACGGTATTCAATGAGTTCCTCACCTTTCATTATATTTAGTGGCATGTAAGTAAATACAAATGTCTACATATTACTGTCATATATCTATTAATAAACTACAAAAAACAATATTTCATATTTGTCGAAAGTTTATCGGCAAATGTTTTATAAGCATGATATGGTTATTTTTAGGCTGATTACCTGTGAATCACTTTACCGAATAGCTCATTTTAACGATAATCTGAGATATTATAGTATAAAATACAGCATTATTTCTAATAAGGTAATACGTTTACGATGAAAAACTATATACATCAAATGTCAATTACACTTCAATTAAAAAAACTGGAGATTAACCCCGAGTCAACAAAAAAGCAGAGATCGTAATGGAGTGTGAGAAATAAATGGTGAAACAATTCGTTGTTGTGATTATCATGTCACTTCAAATTTTCGTATAATGTTCAAATTATATGACATGCACTATGTAAACATCTTAATATTTTATAAAAACTTATTCATATAAAAGGGTATTATTCAACTGCGGTAATAATACTACTAGAGAGATGATTCATTAAGATGGACAGACAATGCTTTCCAATTTTCACGTTATTCTCTAGTTGATTTTTGATTGAAATATTGGTCTTGCATTGCCTTATAGGTTATGCTCAACTTCTTTTGTTCTCTTTAATAATCCAGGTGATAACTTTGGGGTATTTCTGCGTAGTCCATTAAGTTTTCGACACGTTCAACGTTCTATGCCATCTCTTCCTTTCTTATTTCCTGATTCTCGCTTATGGCCATCATCGGAGCCACTTATTATCACACCTACAACAAACTATAGCTCAGCTGATTACGAGCGTTTCTTCAAAGATATAAATTACACTATTGGTATGTGACTATCTTTTCTCTTTTCATTTGTTACTACCTTAATTTGGTAGTTATTTTTGTCACTCATATTTTATCAAAACAACACTAGCTACTATATCTACAAACCATAACTTACACATCACGTGAAAACTAAGAGCAAAACCATTATGAATTCACAGTTTATCCATAATCACGAAAAGCGTTTCCCAGTGGACTTCATGATGTTATATTCATAGATAGAAATTATTTCGAACTCAGACTTTGTTGCCTCAATTTTCAGAATATCCATGAATAGTTTTAAATAGTTCTAACAAACTTACTTTGAAGTATTAAAAGGTCTTTTTTTAAAGTGGATACTGAAGAAAATGTTTAAACTATTAAAAGCTTCACACTACGTCATCTTTACATTTATTTTTCTAATTCCGTATTTTGGTTTCTATCCTACTCGTTCATAATGAGCTTCTAGGCTACCAAATGTGGAAAGATACTCACTCCCTTGTTGATGGATTGGAAATGCCTACTGGTATTGATGATATTTATTGTATTCATGGTTCACGTTTATCCACTACCGAAAAAATTTCCTATTCTGCACCCAGTTATTTTTATAGTGGTTTCCCAGATCAAGTACCCTTATTAATTCCTGGTGACGGAGATGGGACAGTCGGCATACGAAGCTTAGAATACTGCAAAAATTGGCCTGGAATTAAATATTACATATTACCTGGAGCGGAGCATGTTCGTATTCTTAGTGATGTAAGACATATTAACATTATTGTCAAAATTCTTAATGCAAATATAACTCATGGATAAACATCAGATTTTGATGTCTGAAGATAAACTACTGGATTAAGTGGACGTTATGTCAAATGAAGCCCATAAACTAAAGAAACGTGTCGAAACAAGTAATATTAATATTGAGCAGGTGTTTTTTGTATTTTCAGTTATTTACTGAACAAAAATAATGCAATTTGACATACTTAAGAAAATCAAAGTCTTGGTTTGCTGTACTTATGATTTTCATTGTCAAGCTTAGCTCAATTTCTGATTATGTGATTTAACTGAACTTTATAGCCATTGCCTAGTCTATACCCAGCCTTTTTACTGCAATATGATTAATTGAGTCCTATGGAGAATGGGTGATTTTCATTGGATGATTCGTGCTGTATCTGTATAGAAAATTCTTGGTCTGTCCAACAATTTGGGGAAATGAATTTTCTATATGACCAAACTTTAATTATTGGTGAATAGAGACAATCAGTTTTGTTGAACTAATTTTCAGGAAAAGTTAGAATATTAGTGGTCTAATTTTTTTATTGATAAATGGATTTTAAAGTAAGTCAATACTGAACGGTCATCTAAACACGTCGAACAGTTAATCTTGTGTTCGGTGTGAATGAAAGTCATTTGATGTAGTATGTTAACGAGATATCACATATGAGACGTATGTACTTGTGCATTATTATTAGTATTAAGAATTCTGTGAAGAAATGTATACTTTAGATATTGACATAAACGTTTTACCTATTACCAAAGTGAAAATACACATAATGAAGCTATTATATAGACGTATGCACTGACAACAAATAGTAGGATAACGTCTTTTGATGTCAGTTGAAATTACTTACAGATATAAACCCTGTTAGACTGTTTAAATAGTTCATCTGGTCCACCTCGTTTAACATTTTGATTTTGCACGAAATTTAAGTTTAAAAATGTATGGACAAGCATTCAGTGTAAAATGTCACTGAGATTATTCCAAAGACAGTTATTACTTTGATTATCACTGAATATTGGGGGATATATATTTCCGAAAAATTTAACAATTTAAACTTTGAAAACTCCGAATTAGTACAATTTTTTTTAGTTAAAACCATAAAAGTTTTAACTCGTATCATCAGACTTTTAATAAAATAATGGTAATCATTTTGTCGTCGCAACGTCCACGTAATTAAGGAATTTCAGTTAACTAAAAGACAATAAATTGATTATGAGTCTGTTTAAAGTAGAACTATACCATTAATTCTGTCAATTTTTTTATCCGTATATAATAGTTTACTTTGAAGAGGGAAAAACCAGTACAATGATGATCCTTAGTGAATACCTTATTTGATGCGCGACGACAACGCCCTTTTGAATAAAAGTTCGACAAACACAGTCTTTTAAATAGCAGTTACTTACTTTACGATATCATGTGTTAATTAGCACTACTTAGTGATAGACACACAAACTGAAGGATTTATTAATATTACAAATATTACATTCTCCACACCCACTAACATACACAAAGTTACGTTTCAGTTTTTCATGCATAAGCCATAGTAGTGTAATTTTTGTATTTCTATACGGTATAACAATTGTTTATACGATAATACTAATTTAAATTATTAAATATCATGATCAATCAAGTATGAGTATATTTATAAACATTTTTCTGAAAGTTGTTGCTCCAGTAATGGCTTGCATCAACACCTGAACTAAGTATAGGGAGTGAAGTAGTCGAACGCGTTGACAACTTCACTTATCTTGGAAATCTGATCAGTCCTAGTGGGTTGGTGTCTGACGAAACCTCTGCACAGATTCGAAAAGCTCGTTTGGCTTTCGCAAACTTACGTCGCCTATGGCGAAGGTGAGATATCAGTCTATCAATTAAAGGACGAGTGTATTGCACGGCAGTTTGTTCTGTTCTAACTTACGGCTGCGAATCGTGGCCATTAAGAGTAGAAGATACTCGTACGCTACTAGTATTTGACCACAGATATCTTAGAAATATTGCTTGTATCTGCTGGGATCACCGGGTAAGTAATAGTGAGGTTAGACGCAGGATATTAGAGAATGATGGTAAATCAGTTGATGAGATTGTGAATCTTCATCGACTGAGATGGTTGGGCCACGTGTTACGTATGCCCAAACACTGATTACCACGACGTGCAATGCTAACCGGTGTTGGAGATGGTTGGAAGAAAGTTTGGGCGGCCTAACCAAAACATGGCCTCAGTGCTTGAAGTCACTAACTTCTAGGCTTAGCCATGTTGGTAGATGCAGACTATTTGGTTGGGGTTTGCGTGACTATCGTAATCGATGGTTGGAGACTCTGGGTGACATGGCTCTGAATTGATCACAATGGCGAAGATGTATACACTCTCTGTCTTCATTTAAACTATGAGATGAAAACTAATTTTTTCTTCCTATACTATGCAATCTTTCTTTTATATATTGCCACCGCTGAATTAACTACTTCTATGAATCCAGTGCTCATCTTGCTGTGATAATGAGCTACGGTAACTTGGACCGATGCATATATGTCCCTGGTCCTACGTTACAGCTGACTCTCTGAAAGTTTGTGATTGTTTGAAAAATTATGTTGCAACTATTATAATCTTAATAATATACTGAGTTTACGATTTAATACCTTCGACACTTATAAACGATATAAATATCCATCAAACTGATGATTTTAAAAATTTGACGAACCGGACAGTTAGATAATTTGCATATATTAACAAATTTAGGGTAGCTGTTTAAAATCAGTTGACAAAATCATTTCAAACCGATATTGAGCATAAAGTGGAATAATACACTGTTCAAACCTCCCAACTGGTTTTCCGAACAGAGTTCTTAAACAGTCAGTCGGTCTACGAAAATCGCCAATAGTAAGAGAAGAGATACATTATCCAAACATCACTTCTGTTGGACGTCATATCAGGGACAGTGGATAATTTATCCCACTTGTGAGATATAGGCAGGAAATCTAAGTTTCAGTTTAGCGTCCCAACCTTTTCATATGGAACTGAGTAAACATCCAAAATAACGACGAGTTTCCCTAGTGAAATCTGGATGGCTCACCGGTAGAGGGTGTAGTAAAAACAATCGGTAGTATTAACAGGCGTATCTTTTAATGACTATGTGGTGCATGCTACTTGTGCTGACAGGTATAAGCATTATGTAGCAGCAATCGGAAGTGGAATGTCTGGCAGCATAAGACTGAAGTCAAGAGAACAGGAAGGAAATCGGAGAGCAGTCAAACTAACAACAGAATTCGAGGAATAATGGAGTATGTAAAGATCAATGCAAAGAAGTCGTGTAAGTGATGTATTTACTGTATGATTTTCATTCTATACGAAGGCATTCTGCAATTTTACATAAAACAGTAAATTGGTTCCCTCACTCGAGTTTTCGTTCACTACAACTGTCGAGATATGTAGTCAACATACTGAATTTGTTTGGCACCTCTGTGCTGAATCGTATAGTCATAGACATTTGGAGCAATACTCCATCGTCAAACCGAAGAAACTGAGGAACATGGTAAGGACTTTTTTAGGACGATAAATGAGCTTTCATGCTTCATTATCTGTAACAACAGTAAATTTATTCCTAAACAAATAATTATGAAGTTATTTAACACTCCAAATAACAGCTGGTGTCTTGCGCTGAGTTTTAAATAACTTTGTTAAGCAACAGTAAGTTCGAGTGAAATACAGTTTATTGGTCCACCGCCCTGTGGTATTGTAGCAACTGATGATTCGTTTGTATTTGATTGCCTGCTTAAGAATTCCAAATTTAATACTTTCAGTTGTGCTCAACTAGTTCTACCTGCCTTAAATTGCATTATTTAGGGAATTCTTGGTTAACGAATCAGTCTGAGTACTTCTAATTATCACAAGCACTCACTGACGAACGTAGGTCTGTAAGATTTTTTGGAGATGGTGCATTTTTTAGTGAAGCTAGCTGTTTAATATCTGGTTTAAAACCATTACTATCGATTAAGTATCCACGATATTCAAAATTAAATACACAAAATGAACACTTATTCGGATTCACAGCAATATTCTTCTTGATTAAACGATGCGATGAATCAATAAGTCTTTGATCATGAGCTACTTTATCAGAACTACGAGTAATGAGATCATATTGATAAACTTGAACACTTTTAAAATCACTGACTAGATTATTCATGACTTCCTGAAATATGGCTGGAGAACAACATAGACCAAATGGAAGGAATTTGTATTTTTTAAAAACAAAGAGGAGCGTTAATTCATGTAAAAATAGATGAGGGTTGATCAAAGGGAATTTGAAGGTAAGCAACTTTCAAAACAACTTCTATGAATACCTTAGAACCATGAAGTCGATTAAGTATCTTCAGCTTCCACCGTCGTGAATGCCTGCTTCAGTAAACGGAATCTCGGTGTTAACCTGAAACCTTCACATGTTCTAGGGGTCTTGCCACCAGACTTCAAGGGAGTAACAATAGGAGTCTCCAACGATAAAGACTGAATCGGTCCAATCATTCTTTTCACGAGCAAATCATTCAATATCTTAAGTACTGCTATTTAAAGACCACAAGGAATAGTTTGTCCTTTAAGAAAGATAGGATCGCTTTGTAGTTGGGGTTTTATCGACTGAATTCTCATTTCTGCACTGCACCTAGCAAATGTGACTATCAAACATTTAAGTAAAGGATCAGAATCGTATTTGGAATCTGATAAAGTCAACTACACTTCAAGGCTTTTAAAATTTTTCAAACCTCTTATTGACGATTCTGTTTCACTAACTAATACTCATAAGCCATGTATGATGAACGATCATCTCAAAACAGCTATTCATACCATCATCGTACAGGCAGAGTTTTTCCCAGTAATCCTAAATACTGAAGCTTCAGTAGGTTGTACCACGTCAGAATTTGAAGGCGTTATGTTCTTGAATGAAATGATGGACTCAATACCTTCTATGTCGACAATAAAGATATGGAATGA